ACATACACACGCGCGCGCGCGCGCGCGCACGCACACACACACACACACTTCATTTTCTTTTTTCTAAAATATATTAATTATAGGTTCGTGCTAAACAAGCGGCCAAAGCGTTAGAAGCAATGATGAGAACACCAAATGCAGATAAAGAGGCTGCATTATATTCCAGACTTCCTGAGTTAGCGAAGCTTCTTCGCAATATTTTTGTGGCGGAAAAGAAAGGCGTTTTACCAATGGAAGCAATAATACAAAAACTGGATAATTCTTTTAGAGTGAAGCTAACGTTGCAAGAAATAGAGGATCATATACGACAATTGTGCAAACTATTACCTATGTGGGTCAGTATACATAATGTACGGAAGGTGGATTATCTGAAATTAGATAAAAAATGTTGAACTTACCAAAGTGATTAAACGATTAGAAATTTTAGCCGATGATAAAGTTAAGATAGCATCCTAATTTTTACAGTTTGATAAATTATATATTGAATATCTATATTTCCATCTAATAGTAAAACTATTATGCTATTTAGATTAAAAACGCTTTTGCATATTTACATCTATATCGTTATTGAAAGATGATCAAATAATGCATCTTATATATAATTTATGACATTACCATTTGTCCTTCACAAGGTATTTTTGGCAAATTGAAATTATAAAACATGAAAAAGAAATATATGCAATATCTTACATTTACTCTCCTGATTTTATATTACAAATTATGATTATCTTATTTCGTTATATTTAAAGAATTTTGTTTACTAAAATGTAATGATATTATTAATCTGAGTAATATAAAAATATGAAGCTATTTTTACAAAAATATCAATGTAAATATAAATTTCCACAATCAAAGTTGAATTATATAAGAAGTTTATTAAATTTCTTAAGTAGAAATATGTGATGCATGCATTTTCTTTGATTATATTAATTAAATAAAGATATAAAAAAATTCAACTGTACATCATGTGAATATTTATATATATATATATATATATATATATAAAATTTTATGTACCCTTCCCGGTTCTAATAATTTGCTGGGTCCTACAGAAGCCATGACTTATTGGCCTGATGATTCGTAGGATCGATAAGAATAATAATGATAAGTACGCCAGATTCTTTCGTTTCGTGCAAAAACGCATCGAATGAGCTAATTTTATCGAAATTGGAAGTGAAGTCCCTAAACTTAACATTTACCTAAATTAATATATTTTTGCAAGGGGCATAAAAAAAGTTATTGTCTATTAGTGGTAAAATAGATTTGTTTTGTATCAATAATAAGCATTATAGAAATTCTATATTATCGATATAATTGCATGTAGTGACATCTTACACACGATATTCTTGTGTGTAATCTGTGGAGTTACCTAATCAAAAGTTTCCTAATCTCTTGGT